TGATGAATAGAAAAGTTCTAAAAAAAAAAAACAGCATTTATTTGAAATAAGAATCTTTTGTAACATTTAAATGTTTTTACTTCCACATTTGATCAATTTAATGCATCCTTCAATTAAAACTTTTGAGCAGTGGTGTATATTGCTAGGTTCTGGGGCTGAAATACAATGCACAAAAGTGCAATTGTTTACTGCATTCACCTTACTTACAAAATAACAACAAAAAAGACAAAATAACAACAAAAAATGTGCAAGTGTTTGTTTGGCAATTCATTATACTTTCATTCATCCATCATGTTTTTCATGTGAATACACAATACACTTTGTGTTTTACTTTGCATGTGGTGTGAGCATTGTGCACTCTGTGTCTGCATTGGTTCAAATAAGTATGATACAATCCATCATCCATGTGAAGTGGTTGTTGTATGGATGAGAGTTTCTGTTAGGTCAAATGTTTGTTTGGTCCCATTCCAAACAAATCCTGAAAGCAGCTAAATCAAACCAATATTTGCTGGCAAAGCATGCACATTTGGTTTAAAAAAACAAAAAACAAATGTATTGTGGGCAGTCGTGGCCTAATTGTTAGAGAGTCGGACTTGTAACCCGAAGATTGCGGGTTCAAGTCTCAGGTCTGGCAGGAATTGTCGGTGGGGGGAGTAAATGTACAGCGCTCTCTTCCACCCTCAATACCACGACTGAGGTGAGACCCTTGAGCAAGGCACTCGAGCAACCCCCAACTGCTCCCCGGGCGCCGCAGCAATATGGCTGCCCACTGCTCCGGGGGTGTGTGTGTGTGTGTGCGCGCGCTCTTGGATGGGTTAAATTCCGAGTATGGGTCACCATACTTGGCCACATGTCACTTCACTTCACTTCATATATCACCAGCTGGGTGTGAAAGGACTCAGAGTTCACTTTGCTGTGCTCTTGTAAAGGTTTGCTGAGGCATTAAGGTGAAGACTGAACCTGGCTCGTTAATAAGACCCTTTGACCTGAACTGACTCCACCTTTCAGATGAACAATGTCAAGGTTCCCATGCAGGGAAATCCACTATATGGACAACATTATTGGGACACCTGACCATTACACTAACAGGGACTGTTGCACATTCTAAATACATAGACATTAATATGGAGTTGGTACTGTATGCTGTGTCTTGGTATACAGAAGCATTAAGATTTCCATTCACTGGAAATAAGGGGCCTAGACCAATCCCTGAAAAATAGTCCTATACCATTATTACCATTATCCCTTTTCCACCAAACTTTAAATTTGGTAGAATGGGCAGGTAGCAATCTCCTGTCATATGCCAAAATTACCATTATCCCTCTTCCACCAAACTTTAAATTTGGTAGAATGGGCAGGTAGCATTCTCCTGGCATATGCCAAAAACCAAGACTCACCCATCAGACTGCCAAACTGTGTGGTTTGTCACACCACAGAATAAGTTTCCACTGCTCCAGAATCCAGCATGCTTTACACCTTGCGGGCCACTGTCCTGCAGAGTTAAAAACTTCTATGCAAGTGTGTTGGTGCTGGTTGGAGCTAAAATCTGCAGGACATTGGCCCTCCAGGAGCAGGAGTGCACACCACTGCTTTTACACCACTCCATCCGATGCTTGGCATTGTACTTGGTGATGTGAGGCTTGTAACCGTGCAGCTGCTCGCCATGGAAACCTATTCCATGAAGCTCCTGCTGTACAGTTTTTGCGCTGATATTAATGCCAGTGGAAGCTTGGAACTCTTCAGCTATGGAACCAGCAAAGTGTCGGTGACTTGTACACACCAAGTGACTGAGCACTGAGTGACCCCGCTCTCTGACTGTACGTGGTCTTATGTTTCGCCTGAGTTGCTGCTGTTCCATGGAAATGCTTCCACTTTCCAGTAATACCACTTACAGCTGACCATGGGATGACATTTCATGAACAAATGTATTGCAAATGTGGAATCCTGTCACAGTTCCACACTTGAATTTACTAAACTCTTCAGAACGACACAATTTTTTCACAAATGTTGGTACATTCAGACTGCATGGCTGGGTGCTTGTGGCAATGGGTCTGACTGAAACACCTAAATAATTAAGGAGTACCAATACTTTTGTCCATATAGTGTATATCGTTTGAATGTACTGTAACTTGCTTTGGATAAAAGTGTCTGCAAAATACAATGTTAATGTAATTACAAACCTGAAGAAAAACCCTGAGGTATTCAAGAAAACTGATCATTTGATGGTTCGTGTCACACCTCTGTCCTCTCTGTGAAATGTCAAAATAGTGACAACTCAAAGAGTTAAATTGTTACTCATCTCTTTTTCTAGTGGATGAGAGCCAGGTGGACATCGGACCCTTGCTACGCCTTTTATGGAGTAGACGGCTCCGACTGCTCTTTCCTCATCTACCTCAGTGAAGTCGAGTGGTTCTGCCCCCCTCTGGCCTGGAGGAATCAAAGCAGCCACCCCACAACCAGCAGCCTGCCAAAAAGACAGGTGAGTGCCTGGAAGAGTCAACAATCACTACACTGAATTAATTGCAACAGAGAAGTGTAGGAGTTAGTGAGGTGTGATTATAGCTAAGATCACATGGCTCTTTTCCAAAACCTAATAAGTTGCCATAGGCAGTGTTGCAGCTATCTTTTACCAAGAAGGCAATACTAGAACACACAAGTTGTTACCTATACAGCATTCCAAATCAGTCATGTAGAGGTTTTATTTCAGTTAGAATGCTGACTTAGTAGGCTGTGGAAAGCAAGGCAGCTCAGTGGGTTTTAAAGGGGTCATATGACAATGCTAAAAAAGAACATTATTTGGTGTAATGAAATGTGTTTATGCGGTTTAAGGTTAAAAAAACACATAATTTTCCACATACTGTACATTATTGTTTCTCCTCTATGCCCCGCCTTTCTGAAACGCGTCGATTTTTACAAAGCTCATCATTCTGAAAAGCGAGGTGTGCTCTGATTGGCCAGCTATTCAGTGCGTTGTGATTGGCCGAATACCTCAAGCGTGTGACGGAAATGTTACGCCCCTTACCATACTGTGATGTCATGTCCCGGTGCGACGACACAAAAAAAACAAAGTAGTTTCGCTTTCACAACGAAACACAGCGTCTCCACAATATGGCGGCGGTGGCAGTGACAATACTACTGCGAGAATAAAAGTTACGCCTTTTTTCTTTGCATGAATATTTGGGCGGTGTTATGCAAATCTTCCCACACAGTGACGTAGATGTGGGGGGATGTTTAAACGAGGCGTTTTAGGAGGGCGTGGACGAGTCTTAACTTTTATAAAGAATAACTCTTTCGGTTTGAGACTTTAGTCTTTGCAACTTTAGGGATCTTATCTATGCACGAACAGCTTGTAACACTCCATAGAGAAAGGAAAACTTGAAATCGCATCATATGACCCCTTTAAAACAGAGACTGTGTGAGCAGTATGTGTGTTCTCACCTGGTTAGTTACTCTCACAGTGTGTCATTTCAAGTGAGAGAGTTCCAGCTGTTTAACTGTTATGCACCGTGCCACTAAGCCCTGCTAAGACTGAAACGAGACATCGTTTTATTCATTTTTTCCCCCCTAAAGCATAAAATACTGTAGCATTGTCTTGCCTAGCAAAATTTCCTCTGTAAATTCCACACAGCTATTACCAGTACGAGTCTGAACTCTTTTAAAATTATGCCACAATCTGTTATTTTAAAAATGACAGTTATTTAATTTGCGAAACCATGATTAACCTCAACCTTGTGTCCACAGACCAATTACAGTCCATTCATTCAAGCTGTGTTTAAGTATTGCTTTTGAGAACAAATCACTGACTTTTACAGGTTATATCTTTGAAAAGATATTCAGAGTTTAGTAGCAAGTCATTTAGTAGCAGTTTTCTAGATATCCTTGGACAGAACATCATATTACTGTATACACTTGCAAAAAAGAAGTGCACATATTTGTATTGAATGTTCAGTGTAGTGTAATTCAAATCTTTAAAGTATGTTTAAAAAAACTGTACTTGGGCAATTGAATATAAATGAAATAAAGGGACACTCAAGTGTATTTAAAGAGTGTACACTTTCATGACTGTTTCTTAACATTTTCACTTTTAAAAAGTGCCCTTTGTAATAATGTAAAATTAAAAGTTTTAATTAAAAAAATAGAAGTATGTTTTAATAATCTTTTGTTGGTTCAAATTTTAACTATGTTATTCAATATCACTTTTAAAGTAAGTATATTTTAAATGTACTAAACTGCAACTTCATCTGTACAAATGTGTAATTACAAATATATTTAAATACATAAAATACAAGTTTCAATAGATGATATATATGTGTATGTGCATGTGTATATCTATGTGCATATGTGTCCATATGTATATACGTGCAAGTATGTATGAGATTACAGCAAGTTTTCTGACTGCGTTTCAGGGGGCACTGTAGAGCCTTGAGTTTTTGAGTATGTTAAGGCTCCCGAAAAGCCCTGGGTAGTTGGAAAAAAAAAAAATATATATATATATATATATATATATATGTATATATAAACCTAAAC